TATGAAAATTCTATCTGTCGTCTTATTCCTCCACTGATCAATTTCGGTTAATTCCATTAACCAAGTCAGTTACAGTCTCTTTGCTTAGATATTGTGTGTATGTGTGAGAGAGAGACAGAAAGAGGACACATGAAAGAAACTTATAGTGTCTAGGGTGTTAGATTACCTAGCCCTTAGCGGTAACCCCAAGTCAAAAAATGTTTGAATGACGGTGACATCCATTTCTAAGTATTCTGTTCTACTCTAAGACTAGGAAGCATGACATTCACTCAAATTGAGTGTATACCTCTTGAGGGTATTCATAACGAACCAGATCAACAGTTATATGTCTACCTGACATCCATTCCCGTTACTTCCATTCATTCAAGCATTTGTGGTCAGTATACTACTTCTTATTCAATATTTACTGTTCAAGTATATGTATGACCTAACCACAAGATGCTCTTCACTATAATAAGTTTCAACTAATTTTTTTTTGCTATGAGTAAGTTGAAGACCCACTTAGACCGTCAACACGAGCGTGGCATTTTAGTATATAATGATAAACAAACTCGTGAGCTTCTTTCGAAACAACACAAGCCACACAGACTGAAACCAGTTGTCACATGTATGATGCCTTCAAGCAGTAAAACGTTAACCAAATTCTCAACTACATGCCCACCCAACAACTGAAATAATATTCAGTTAGCTATAGTATATTACGTGTTTGAACACAGCATCCAGTTAATTGAAAATGAAATTAGTGTCGTTGATTAGAACATTTGAAAATGCTCCTTAACTAGGAGATTACGAAAATATCGCCTAAAAATCGGCTGGCTCATAAGTTTACAACACACTAAAAAAACCAAACTTTCGTAGAAAAAACAGAAGACAAGCGACTTCAGTACCTATACGAATAAATCACATATTCACGATAATTTAGGACAAAAATATGCACTATTGCTGATTCCGTGTTAGTAACCTAAGTGTTAAGGTCCTTATTTGGAACTTACATTTTTTAACCATAATAAATTAACATTGTTCTCCGGTAATAACTTTCAGCTGTCTAGGTCTAAAAACAAGTCTAATGCCACGGACATTGGACAATCCCAACTGATAGCTGCTACATACTGACGCGGTGGTCGGGCTTGTTATAACAACCACCCAACGGGCTATGCTAGGTGGAACGCCTGTTCCGTAGAGGTCCTACCAGGCCAAAAACATAGGATGAAAAGCAGTCACCGTGTAGTGTAAATTGCTATGGTATGATGGGAATCCAAGGGTGAAGTTGTGCTTCTGGCTGAGTGGAGGGAGTGTGACAGCAATAAGGTAATCTCCTTAGATGACCACCGGCAGTGGTACGTTGATGCTGCCCACCCGATGGGAAAGGAATTAAAAACGGTTGGTCACAAAAATAGCACACTTCTCCCTGCCGCACGGTCTTCTGGTGCCGCCGACATACGTTTTCTTCCTCCGGTGTCACAAGAACAAAATTCCACACTAACCATCCTGAAAAGTCTGTGAGACAGCCCCAAGCAGATGTCTCATGCGCACTCCGGTCACAAAACTCACATTCTCTTTCACGTACTTTAACAAGAAATAGTCATCCATGATGTGAGCAAGAGGTAAGTGTCAACCATCCGCACGCCTCCAATGGTATACAAGACCCTGTTGATTCACTGGAACTCAACGTGGAACCTCGCACACAAGTGCATTGGCTCAAGTTGCCATGCTTCACAGTAGTACACAAAGAACAGGTGGGTAGGAAAACACTGATATCAAAGAAGATAAAGTTGTATGAGAGAATAAACAGTCTGAAGATGAAGATTGGCGCGAATTTTCAAGGTTCAAATGTCAAGGAAGCATCACCGTGACCGATTTTCAGCTATGTCAACAAGAGTCCTCAAGCATTGATTCTCTTCGTCTCAGGAACTCCAACCAGGCAGTCTACATAACCCCACACGGCTCGGACCAACAATGAGAAACTTAGTCGAATGAAGACACGTCTATGGACTGACAACTCTGGACCCTCTTCTAACATAAACATCCTCTAGCATTTCACGTCGACATAGGCGCTGGCCCACTCGGCATGCGCAGTACATGTCCAAGCCATCTCAGTCGATGGAGGTTCACAATTTCATCAGTCGACATACCTGTCTTGCCTAGTACCCTTCGCGTGACCCCAAACATTACTCACAAGGTGATTCCCCCAAACATGGGAATGCCATGAAATCATTTTTGATCAAAACCCAGTAATCGCTTCATGTCTTCTACTTCTAAGGGCCTTATGCCAGTTACGTAAGACAACAGAACGAACTACAGTGCAGTATACTTGTCATTTTATAGGTAGTCGAATACCTCCCCCATCGGTTGGGAAATGTCAAACGGACCTTCTGTATCCGAGTTGACATTTCTTCAGCAACCACGCCATTTGAGTTGACACAACTACCGGAGTAACTGTGACGGTCAATATATCCTACTACTCCACTCCCTATCCTTAGACTGGAGCTGGTGCAGACCAGTCCTAGAGCCGTGGGATGAAGGGTATTTGTATCGGGTTAGCATCTATTGGTTCATCACGACTCTCCAGGTAATGTCCAAGAGTTCACGCAACTCAGCGGCTTGAGACGCTATCAGATATGGCTCAGAATCGAAACCAGTGGCGGTCATGCTATAGCTTCCTATCTTCTGCTGCTAAAAAGTAATGAATATTTCCTTTCGAATGTAATTTACTGGACTGCTCTTCTAATCATTCTATTCTCATTGTGCTTTGTTTTTATCCACTTCCCTTCGTTCTACAGTTTCGTAATGTTGTGATATACTTTTTGTGGAGCATTTGTTGGTGCCCTTGCTGTATGTACCAGGTTTTTGTTCGAGTAAAATAATCATAAATCATCTTATATTTGATGGGTGCGAGATGCATGTCAACCATATTCAGATTTCTTCTCAGCGCGTTCAGGAAGACCCTGAATTGTGTCAGCGTCTTCACCTAGCAGGACAATATTGTCTTCATACTCCAGGTCAACCAGACGACCTACAGGGAGTAGGTCAATCCTTGTGAAGTTAGACGTACCTAAAGTAATATCTCCTATACACATTTGCTTACATTGATATCACTCTTTTCTATCCAACTTGTTCTTTGTGTACTAATGTGAACTGTGACAACTTCGACCACTGCTTTTGTGTGCTAGGTTCTACGCTGATTCTGTCCAATCAATCCTGTTGGGTGAACAAAAATGCAAAAGTTGGCCATTGTGATAAAATGTTATACCATACTGGATTCGTTTATTTGATATAGTACAGCATATTCATTGGATGACTTTTCGAGTAGAAATTATTCCTTATTATCATGTATCAAAGTGACATAATCATGATTATGAGCAACATTTTATGCTCGAATAGATCATACTGTATTACTCACTGTGTACTATTTCAAACGAACAAATCCAGTATAGAATGTTCTTTGGTGACTATCACTTCAACAGTATTAGTTATTTGTAGTCCACAAGGTAAATAGATATTTGCTATATACGGAATGAGTGATTAGGTGGTAAATATTCACCACAAATTGATGTAGTTTGAGGTCTATTAAGATTTTATTTTTAAGGTTGTATTCATCACAGACTGACATCAGTCGGAAAACCATTGAAAACCAGTAACTGCATACCACTGAGGAGTAGCCATACTAGGACAAATCAATCAATCAATCAATATCAACATAGGACCAGGCATTACTGCGTAACGGTCCGAGTTACCACACCTCATATCACTACATCAAGTAGGAAGGTAGTGAGGTGAAAGATGAAGATAAGAGAATGCAGTCGAAAGAAATGTAAACTACGAGAAGAAAGGAAAGAGGAATGAGAAAATGGTGAGATTCGGTATAGCATCGTTAAGATGACGATAATGTGTGTATACATCTGCACAACTGACATCAGTTCTGAGCTATATCACCCAGAACCAGTCTCCAACTATTGGTTACTTTTGTCCCGCCGACCCCAACCACCTAGTCTGCATCGCCCCACATGGCTCAAACCAACAGTCAAAGACTTCATACAATGGTGCCATTTTTTAGTCTGGCCACCTCGGACCTTTCTCCAGCCTTAACCTACTTCAGCCAACATTGTGTGAAGAGGCAATCGGTGACTAGGTATAAGTAACACATGTCTCAACCATCTCAGTCGATCAAGGTTCACAACCATGTCAACTGACTTACCTCTTCTCCCTAAAACTCTACACCTGACTTCTGTGTTACTCACATGGTGACACCATGGAATACGGCCTATACTACGAAGGCAACAGTGATCAAACACCTGAAGCCTTCTCATATCTTCCACCTTGAATGGCCATGTTCACAGCCACACATTAGTAGAACACACCGGACTGTTGTGCAGTATACACGACCCTTAATAGACAAACGGATATCACGGTGGCGCCGCAGGTGACGTAATTTGGCGAAAGCCAATTGAGCCTTTAGTATCCGTGCAGAGATTTCACCGACCACTGATCCACCAGGGCTGATCCCACTTCCCAGGTAAATGAAGTGGTCAACACACTCAATCACTACATTCTCTATTGTTAGCCGTGGTGGGGCACCGTTGCATTTGGGTGGTGAGAAACGCATCCCAAACATTCTCAGACTCCCCCTCAAAGTGTTCGGAACACTGTATCTTGTTAGCGTCTTCCCTAACAGGACAATGTCATCTGCGAATTCTAGGTCTAACGAAAATTCTCCTGTGATTGGGTCAACGTCTGTGTAATCAGGTGACGAGAGGGAGACGTCCATGAGAATATCTGTGATAAAATTGGATAAGAATGGAGACAAAACAGCTATCCAGTGTTCTCAGGTTTTCAATATTTCTTCAACTGATGTCAGTCCGTGATGAATACTACCTTAAGAATCGATGTTATCGTAACGTACGTGTAACAATACTTGAGGGTAAAATATTACCATACTGCATCCTATCCTGGATACAGAAACCGACACACACATACATATACAAAGAGAGAGACAGACATACCTTGCGAGTCAAAATCTGCTTTCGTTCTTCTTTAATCTTTTTTCGCACTTCTTCGGTATCCACTAAAAGAAAAAATAATGGAATTATTGTCATTATTAAGATAAGTGAGAAAAAAAAACTGCATTCCTTACCTACCCAAAACATAAAATGTCAGCCCTATCGATTATAATAAACATGTTCATATGAAAAACTTTTAGCTATAAATGTATATAAACAATTCGTTACTAATTTACATATACATACATATACACTTCACTTAATATGGATGTGAAACGATGTCCATGAAATCAAATATGTTACACATGTGTAATCTGGATTTCACCATCGGTCTCAATTTACTGTAATATAGTCAACAACAATATAGCAACAACGCAGAATTTCAAACTTTGAGGAAGTTCCCATTTGTTGAACAGACAAAGCACACTTTGCTACTCATGAGTAAGTGAGTGAGTGACAAAAGGCAAAAAGTTTGTATTCAGAATATTCCAGTAACTAGGTTCGGAAAAACGGCACCTAATACAATGCACACAACACTACACACTGTAACCGTCTAATTAACAAACTATAAATGATAATCTTTAATAACCATTTAAGACTATAGTAGATAATACTAGCTGTTATTGATTGGGCAAATGAATCTCATAGAATATGGCATTTACAAAACAATAACCCAGATATGAATTACACTTACTTCAACTGTACACATTTGATGGGTGACACAAGTGAATGTGATCAACATCCATTGTCGGGTTATCCTTTATGGTAAAGATGCACAAACTGACCATCTAAATTAAAGACTTCCAAAAAGCAAACTGTCCAGTCCTGCTGTTTTTCTCTATATCAAACTTGAAACAGCCTTCTCAACTTTGATGAGAATTGGAGGACCGACATGTAAAGCCTACTCAGATTAAGGTTGAATGGTAGGTAACTAAAGCGTGGTTAGAGGTCAGTTTCATGGGGGTTTTTTGATAATGGAAAAACGCTTTACACTAAGCTACAGGTGTCTAGCTTGAGAGTTAATGAGAAACCTAAGCTTCTGCTTTTGGGTGGGCACAACATTTTTGTGACTATTCTCCGCCCTAAACCTAAGTGGTTGGGGACTGCTACCTAACACTTACCCCTTTTTCCCCTTCTTTATTTGCGCCACTATTCTTTGCTGACAGTAAGTAAAAAGCTGTACTTCACTGCAATATCTGAATTATCTATTCTGAACTGCATCTACAGTTGAAGCTTGATGCAGATCGGACAATAGACTAATTTGCCAAAGACTCTGGATGGTTTCGCATTGCCCTATGCATACAAGACCCCTGTCAAATGCTTCAAATAACTTTCACATCTATCAGCTCAAATTTTTTTTACCCTGAGCTTATCCGGGGACTCTGCAGCAGACAGTCGGCGTTGCTGATAATGATGTTACACTAAATACTAAAATCGAAGTCGCACTAGTCAGTTGGATCCCTATCGAAATTCGCCATTGTACCATTAGGTTGAAATGTTTGGTTAGGTTTATGAGTAACTGGCAAAAGAAATGATGTCCCTTTGTTATCTCTGTCTATACTCAAACTGACTGAAGCCTTGATGCAGTTAAGGATGATTTCTACCACTAACTGAATGACCTTTTCTACTAGGTGCGTCCGACACATATTGTAGTGCTAACCACTGGGTTGAATGCAAAATTCAAGCCTCGACGGTTATTTAATTGGCTAGTAGGGAACAGTTGGTAGCAGACTTGATAATGAAGACCATCTTAAGCAGCTTTGTGCAGATTACAACCAATTTCCAACCAGCATCAACTACGAGTAAGGTTACCGCTGGTGTGTTAGTTAGGGCTCTGCTTTCGGCATTCAACCTTAAACACAAATGGATATAGTGATTGGATACCGATGGTGCGCATATATTTAGGACTACCACTAGTTTTAGAGGAGCTGTTTTGACTCTGGTTATGCTTTTATTATGCGCTAAGTGCATCTTGAGCTTTGGCAGTCACCGAAACTGCCGCCCTAAACAGGCAGATGTAAGTAAATTGGTTGCTCGTAGAATTGTGACTAAACACCAAACCGAACTAGACTCATAGTTAGCTAGCTATGGAACATCCAGAAAGTAAAGATGAAAACTTCACCTATAAGACACAACGAAGATGACCAGTAAAGCTGCTGGCGGTTTCGACGCACATCCTAATAATAAACCTTTGTGTCTTTATGTTACTACTTAACGCTTCTCAGTCTATTCCAATAAACAACGAGTATCGCGGTGTGTAAGTGGTTATTTACGGAGAGAGAGAGGCTTGGTGGCTAGAACGCTCAAGTGAGATAGAAACAGTAGACTCATCTGACAATAGTTCAAAGCTATTCCAGGTCATACAAGCCACTGGGAGCAGGAAGCCTGGTGTCAGTGAGACGGTCTGCAAAGCAGGTGGTATGTAAGTTAACAACCTTAGTAAGCACTTGGAAGGCTACGTGTAGCACACTGAATAGCTTAGCTATCGGTATCCTTAAGCATGGTAAGTGTTTTGTCCCGACAAAGTACATTCATGAAATCCGCAGGAGCCTGAGTTGGCACTCGTCCTTGACGGTGAACTGCTAGAAATAGTTAAAAATTTTGTGTAGTTGGGTGGATGTGTGGGTGCTTAACAGGCTGTGACATATGAGGTATCTCATCATCGATCGAATGTCAGAGTTTAGTGTAGCTCACTGAATGAGTGTAGATCCGTGAACCAGGCTACCTGAATGCCCAAACTTCAGTAGGTGGAACACGGATCAAACTCTCGACTAATTAGTTGGAAGCTTTTGGGGCGAAACGAACAAGATTTTTCACTTTATATTGAAAGTCAAAGTGGGATGCGTCAGTTTATGTCATCTTCTCGCTATCTTGACGTTAACCTTGCAGTAAAATGTCAGGTATGAAGTGTTGACGCAAGAAATTCTATTCTACCCCTGTGAAGCCTGAATTTATTGAACTAGGGATGTTTGATTACCACTCTATCTAAAAGACTGCTGGCACATAGGTGATTCTGTGAACTGATGTTGTGTTTGTTCATGATAGAGATCACTTGCTGAGTGAATTCAAGTGAAAACACCGCCTCGACCCTGAAACTAGCTGCATCTACTAGGCTAAAAGAGGGATCCAAGTTGGCTAATCAACGGGTCTTCTAACAGTATCCCTCATTGAACGGGGTACTGAGTAGAGCCCACCGAGAAGCATCATGTTAGTTGTTTACTTCGTGTGTAGAGCTGTGGATCACTGGTTTGGGAAGTTAACTTTTAATCAGTGAGTCACCGGTCCAAACCCCACCCCACCTACCGATGTGGGCAAACAAGTATTATCAGCAGCCCTCACACAACTGATGAGGCATATTGTCTAGTACATGAACCTTCGTGAGGTTGCTGGGTGTTTAAAATAAAGACATGAGTATTTCTACGTCAAGTATGGCTGACCCCATGCTGATTTTGACTGATTGGCTCTGGTGGCTTGTACATTTTTAATGAATATAGTCTCAGGGGCTCTCATACCGTCCATTGTTTGCCAGCCGTAGGACTGACTGGAAAAAGAGGAAACGTGGCCAATTTATGGCACCTAGTGTTGCCTGGAAACTCCATGCGTGTGGTTTAAGATATCATGTAGCTAAGTAGCTTGAAACGATATCAGATACTGATTTACCATAGAAACCAGTGGCGATTGTTTTGTACTTTTTGTCCTATATTTGTGAAAGTAGCACAAATGCAATTGACTTTTTTGGCACAACCTTTTTCACCTATCATTTCATCCTTTTTGGCTTAACAGAGATGCTTTGTGAGGCATTTCTTCATGTCCATTTTACCCTGAGTTCACGTTTACAAACAAGTAATAAATAAACCACCATTACACTTTGACAGTTTGAAGCCAATGATAATGAGTAGTTTCTCATTAATTAGTTTAGATGAGACTATAGAGATCAGTTGACGTTTACTAACTTTCTTTACCGCTGCTTTTACATCAGAATGAAAATGATGTCCGGCTACATAACCTCGAAAATTATTTTTATTTGCCTACTTATCTTCCTCCCCTCGAAATACAGAAGTGATGATCTCATCTTCCATTAGAGCAAATAAAGGCTTTCATTTTGGCATTCAAGGGTAGAATTCAACATTTTCAGAGCTCAACCAGATAATATAAGAAATAGTGGTAATCTTCCACTAATCTTTGTCAACGATGGATTATGACGATGTTATCTGTCCGTCTCCAGTGGTAGCTTGGTGTCAGTGCGTGCTAAGTGAGACTGTCTTTGCTCATGCTAGAAGAAAGTCGTAGAAGACAACCACCGTTATCACTTTGTCCACATAGAGTTCCGTTAACATCCTAAAGACACCTCTCTAACAGACTCAGTTTCCTTACCTGAGAATTTCAGTCAACAGCTAGTATGACTATATATGAAGTTTTTTCCACTTGTAGAGAAAATAAAAGCTTTCGTAAGGCTCATTTTAACCACTGTCTCAACTGAAGTCGATAGGTGCGTAGGTGGAAACTATAAATAGAAGTAGACGAATGTCACAGTCCCCTAAAGTTCTTACAGAACAACTAAACCGGAGAATATGGAAGATTATCATCTAAGATAGAATTGAACAGTGCTCTTTCTAATTCAGGCTATCCATCAAACTAAAGTCGGCAGGAACTAACTACTAAATGTTTTACGTGTGTGTGAGAAACACAAGACAAATCCACGCTGAGATGCCAAATTTTCGGACAATGAATTCAGTATGGCTTTCGAAGAATAGATATGATGTTACATCAGCGTGAATTACTAGGAATGATAACAGGCTAAGAAGTTAAGGAAACTGTAGGGGATGTGATGTTGGTGACGAAAAGAAGAGATCTATACGAATAACAGAGGTGAAGAGTTTGTGATGATGAAATAAGGCTTGTGCGTCGCTGACAACTTTAGGATAGTTAATACTTCTTTCTATACAGCATAGAAATGGATGCCTTTATGAAGTATTTAGAAAGAAATTGGATTGGATTCTTTAGCATAGAACCCAAAGAAAATCCATTTGGTGATACAGATAACAACCTTCTTAAATGTTGACTTCCGTATACTTGCATCTGTGCTTAGAGAACATTATTATCAGCGATGGGAAGCAGTATAGTTAGGTAGATTGCACACCTTATAGTATCCATCCACCTTCCCTAACCTTTACTTTCCGAAGTTAGAAGGTAGGACAGTCTGAATACTGATTGCCTGCATAAATATTATTCTGTTGTCACACCCTTTTATAAAACAGCAGTACAACTTTAACCTCAAAAATTTATCATGTTGTAGGTTAGTTAGTTGTGGAACTTTATATAACCTACTTCTGTGCGAAACAGTGTCCTACGCCGATACAGTTCGTCAGATAGTTGTAACATGTAAACCCAATTACCACATCAAGGTAAAAGCTATTAGTCACATCCGGATACCCAATTGTAGCGTTAACAGAACTTCCATTCGAACCTATTCAAAAACAAGATGGTAGACCTCTGATACAAGCTGTCTTGAAGTGACATATTATTATTTCACTTATTCGTATATGATAGTAGAATCAAATATCAAATTTCTATTGTGTTCAGTTAAATACAGACAAATTCATCGACAGTGTAACCAGATTTCTCAAACTTGCATACAATTGAAACGGTCACATTATTGTGCCTTGGTGATTAGCTACTTTGGTGGACTTCTCTTGGCAAGCAACCAACAAAAAGTACAAAAATAATGATTTTACAAGATAAAGTACACACTGTGCATATAAATTTTCATTGGACTGTTATCAGTGATAACTGTCCTTTAATTCAGGTAATCTGCACTAAACTGTATATACGTATAGGCGCATTAAACTACTTATCCTTGAAGTATATGTGTAAATAGCACCAATAAAAAAATAACAGAATTGCACTGAATATGACCGAAGAAACATCCTCAAAGAAGAGGTAACCTGTAATCAAAAGAAAAGCGCTGTCAGCATCCTAAGCAACCTTTATTTATCACTACTAACGGACAGAACAATACATCACCTAACATCATGCAGTGACGACACCGAGAATCTTAATTACAATCTCCTTAAATACTAATTTACATTAGGTAAGTGTAGTAAAACAGGCCATCATCAAAATTAAAAATCTAAACATACTGTTGAAATAATAATAAAGATCATTAATCATGTAAGTTACCATGAAGGATATTTTTCTGCTTAAGTTCATCTGTTGTAGGCCGTTGGTTGAGACGACGTTCAAGTGACGTTTCAATATCGATTCGAAGTTCAGCACGTGCTTCTGGAGTGGTACTGGGAATTATATTTTTGGAAATTAAATCATCACGGCAAGGTCTGCAGGCTAAGAATCTATTGATGCGATCAGCTCGTCGTACCCACATATCTTTATGTGCTTGACGAGCTTTGATAAGCGAAGTAAGTGTTTGGTTCGGTGAAGATTTGTTATACACATCTTCTTCATCGCTATCTGTAGAAGTGTAAAAAATGAAGCGACATTCTTTACCAAATGGATAGGCACGATTAGGTAAATGTGAGGTTTTAGATGCTTGATTGCAGCTGGAATTAAGTTCACCAAATTTAAAATCATTGCTGTGAATTGGTGATGATGCGAATGGTGTTAATAGTTGAGCAGAGTTGGGAATCGATAATGTTGGCGATCCAGTAGTAGTAGTAGCAATCTTAAGTGGGTCTGAGGCGCAAACGTCGTCCACTTCACAATCATCCAAACTGTTACAATCACTTTGATTCGTACATGCTTCAACTTCAGTCGATTCAGAGGTTTCCGGAACATTATTCACTGTTTGAAGCGGCAGAATGGCGAGTTGTGATTTTGGCGCACATTTACTAGAGGACTTGAACATATTAAAACTAAATTTTGGGAAGTTTTTACATCACTGGGCGAAATATGAGAATCAAATGCTGATGACTGAAACTGAGAGTTTTTTGTAGAATCTAATGGACACGCAGAATGATTAGGAGATGTCTCAGCGCTAACAAGACCTCCTACCAGGGACAAGTCTGAATTAGATATGGGCATTACCATCACACTACATGCAATCAGTGAATCCTTGATAGCACTTCTATTACAACCCGATAGATTCATTCTAAAATGCACAACAATAAAAAAGAACAGAAAAACAAATGATCAATGTTGTTGTTTTTTCACTAACATATTTAAAACTTGAACGGGAAAACAATATCTTACATAAACATGAACAATAGCAGAGGTTATTTGAAGTAAAATACTGAAGCCTAATGTATCGTAAAGCAAACATCCTTGTTCTAGTGTGCAGAGTTTATATGGTCAACCGTTAAGCTTAACAACCATCCTATGAATTATTCATCAAAAGCATCTCTCTATCTATATATGAACAAAACAGACGTGTCTGTATATCGAATCCAGTTTTATTTAACATAATTATTCAGAGCAGATGTGACAATGAAATGCGTCATCAAAATTCTATTCAGTTATTAACGAGCATACAATATGCTACTAGCATCATTTTCTTATAAATTTATGCGTTTATATGCTTATTGCTGATATACGGTAAATAGCATGAAGTGTATGAATTAACTCGACTGTGGGAAGTGTTGAAAATTATTCGTTTGTCTGAAGTCTAGACGACGTGTGAATATAAACACTGGAACTTTGATTTATGTTTTTCCTGTGTGAATCTGAGTGTGAGAATTATGGATCTTACTGATTGAAATAGTGCAGAATATTTGTAGCTTAGGTGGATGGTCTCGGTTGTATTGTGTTCTCTGAGCTGGGTTGTTTAATCGTGAAGCTTTTATCATCCTTCTAGACGACATCATCAGCACTAACTTCAGCTCAGAGAACACAATACAACCAAGATCTTACTGATTGCTTTAATAATACACATGACATCTAGCACTAAATCAGTACAATTTAACCTTACATTGCATCAAACATACTAGAAATCAGAACGTGAACCCATATGGTAAAAGCTTCACTAACAGCCTGTAAATTTACACACAAATATTAAGCTTCTATAAGAAATAACAATATAGTGGTTATCTTTTTCAATGTTCCCAGATTGGGAAACCTGGGATGATACTAGCAGGATATTTGCATGATAATACTTAGTATTACATAGATAAGTTTTAATATGATCCCAACCTGTTTAGAAAATCAAAACACGACTTTTCTGAACCCTTCGCTGTGTATCCCACAGTTTCTTCAGAAGAATATCTGCTAAGACCTCAAAGAACAAATTGTTTCCGACAGCACTGCTCTTTAGTTCATTATGATATCTAATCCTGACTACCACTTCAACGTGGCATCTATCGGTCGGGAGATAAGAAAAAAAACAGCTGACTGTTTATTACAGATCTTCAGCTTGTAGACATAACTGTCACTTTATCACATATCAGAAGGAGAATTTCACAATCAATATTTCTTAACAAAAATAGCCTCGGTTCGTAAGTTTGGGAAGTAGCCTGGAGTTATCCACGTTAGACTAACGTACTTCAGAAAAATATGAACAACGGGGGCTTCGCTTAGTCCGTCCGTCTTTAGTATGTTAACTTAACATGCACAACACCGGGCTACTTTTTCAGAATCCGAATAGAAACCACTTCGTTATAAAGGAAGAAGAGTGTTTTAGTATGTGGCTCCCTGGCTTAGGCAACTGACTTTCAACTAGTGAGTCACGGGTTTAGGGTGGCCAGATCAAGACGTGGCACCAGTCGATGAAGTCTCTTGCTTCCGGTCTGAGTCATGCGAGGAGATACAGACTTCTTGGTTGGAGTCCTTGAGACGAAAGGAGTCAGTGGCTGAGGACTTTTGGTGACATGGTTGAAAGTCTATTTCAGTGGCGTGGATGCATTCACTCCTTGATATCTTCTAAAGCTTGAATATTCACACTAGCCTTTGTGTTCAAATTGTTGATTCGCTCACACAACTTTGTCTACTTTGTTATCACTCTTTTTCCATCCACTTGCTACTGTGAAGTGTGGTAACTTGAACTGACGCTCTTGTATGTGAAGTTCTCTGCTGGTTTTTTCCCTTTCACGGAGTTAAACCTCACTCCAAATACCGAAATGTGGGCAGCGAGGTAACATCGTTAACCATCATACATTGAGTGGGACACATTGCTTACTGCATGGACGCGTACATTGCTGCTGAGTACATTCCGACTTTTTCTAGCATGATTGACAGAACATCAACCCAAAAATCGCAAGGTTGTCCTGACAGAAGTACTTCAAGTAGTTTTGATAAGAAGCTCCTGTGAGCATATTGAGCAGTTTGTATGAACAATGATCACAGTTTAACCAAATAGTATCGCAAATATAGAGCGCTGATTAAAAGGTTGGCATTAGATATAGGTTGTCATAGCGTATTTGAACTAAAATAATATCAAAGATATTTGATACTTTATTTCTGATTATTTTCCTAAAGAAGTTCAGGTCAGACTTCCATGCGAAAAGTTGGAATCAGCTTATTTCAAACACGCTATGACTTATACAAAAATAACCAACATCTAAGGTCATATTGAGTAGTGTTATAAGACATAAAGGAAACAACTTCATACACTCGAATGTAAAAATACCATCATTTTAAAGAGTATTTAAAGGGGAGATAGTGGGGATGTGGTCTACGAGCTAAAGTGTTGGACTTTTAGGCAAATGGGTCCCAAGTCCAAACTACGCACAACCTATTTCGGACTGGACAACCGGGTAGTATCATAAGCCTTATCAAAATCAGTAAAGTTCGTAAACCAAGTACAAATTGTGCCATGTTGAGGTGTGCTATTGTGATTTTTAATATAATTTTCGGATCTTCCACTTGATATACAATTACATTTCTCATGACTGAATTTCCCGAGACTCTTAGTAGTTACTAGTAAGTGTATACGTAATACAATAGTTCAAGTATCTGAATGTTTTGGGCCTCTTAAGTTCACTAAAAACTAAACAGACATGTACTCCAGTCAAGACAATCAGTATCAGTATGGACACAATATTGAGTGGTATAGTGCATCTGAACTTAGCTTCATTAGAAATAGGGTGTGGAAAAAATTAGTCATCGCTAGTTGATAAGAGATTCTCACAGATTCTACGCCTTGCAATCAAGCCAAAGCAAAATAACATTGTAGTGATTTTTGCTACGATATCACTCTGAAAGAGGCTTATTTTACCAGGGTTTAACTGTCACTTTCTGAGATGATAACACGCTTTAAATAATCATCACGCCTTCAAGACCCACATATCCAGACAAGTGAAACCAATGGGCTCCGAAAGTAAAACATTTTTCAAGACTCAGAATGCATTGGACAGTGATAACCATGTTAAAAATGGGAAGTGGCCTCGACAGCATGAAAAATTATATACTCGCAGTAAACCTACGCTCTGAAACAGCAAGTTTAATCTAGCACATATACGTATCTGTCTTGAACTAACTATCCAATGCTAATATCATTCAAAAGTTGGGCGATTGCACAAAATACAAACTGGCATGGTTAGTTTGAGACTATTCACACCAATAAGCAGCAATCACTAGTCAGACCAAAGAGAACTACGCATCCAAAAATCGACCCCTCGTTTGATAAAACGCTCAATAACCGTATAACAAAGTTGGATTAAATGAGACAACCGAATTTTTTACAGTAATATGTATTCCAAGCATTTGTTCTCTTAAAAGAAACAAAGATGGAATTTTGTAACTCAATTGCACCTAGTTCTTTTCATCTTGGATTTTTCAACACTTACCTTGTTTGAAACAACTCTATGTAAAAAGTGACAACCGTCTATGTGTGCGTGTGTGTGCGTTTATTGCTCGAAATGTTTAAACCATGAAAACAAGTAACAAATTCGCATTCCATATCAGTAACTTTCTGAAATTGAAACTAAGCCTAGTAAAATCACATCATCAGAATACAAAAGGCATCGCGTTATTTAGAAGTTGAAAAGCGACCGGATTAAAATTATCTCGAAGAACTTCTAAGTAATAAAACTTGCCTTGTATAATGGAAAAATTAATAAAACAAACTTCATTCGATAGGTAAAGACGTTGCAGCGGTGTTATACACTTTGCCACCCTTTATTTGTTCTGAAAAAGGGCAGCTGAAAAGATTGACAAACACGACTCATATGTTAAGAGTTGATACTTTTAAGCCTTATCTTACCACTGTTAGTGTAGTTAAAAGAAAAGGATCTGAAATAGCTGCAAGGTTTTTTACGTTGGTCAACAAGAAAATACAAGGGGAAAACTTATTGCCATAGCTACGCATCTCGGGAAACAGAATAGCAACTAGCCAGTGGTAAATGGTTGAGTCTAGTAACCACACATTTCTATTACACTGATCACTGGAAAGCAATTAATTTTATGTTTTCTAGCCCTAAGTGTTGGTGGAATCCGATCAATTATTTCGCAGTGTCGTCACCAAATTGGGACACTCACTATCGCGGTGCGTTTTGATCCACCCCCCCCCCCTCAAAGTTGCGAATACACTTTGTTGAAGAATGCTGACAAGCATGAAGCCTAGCTCCAGAGCTTTTTGTTCATCGCTTTTAATCAACTAACACCAGTCAAAGTGCACCACAGTACAAAATGATAAATAGAATCCGGTTAGGACCAGACGATAGGAAATCGGTTACTCTTTAGTGACCAATCAATGTATCTAATTCATACGTACAAGGAGTTAGTTGCAACCCAAATACTTCAGTCAGACTATTTCTGACTGCAGCACTGAGTGACAGGTTTACATCTCTGAGGAAGCACCAATTTCCTTGAGGTTGCAGACAAGCCTTGCTGAAGAGCGTCAGCAAGAATGAGACTTATGTCCTCGGCTTCCTGATATTTGCACCCAATTAGCCAACAGTTCCTCCTGCTTGGTGTAATTGGACCAGGCCACTTTTTGGCTTAGTTCATTTTTCTCTTGTTTGGTAAGTACATTGTTCATGATGATTACACACGAAACATTGAAATTCCTTATTAGTCATGTGACAACGTAGCGATGGGATAAGTTCATGGGCCCTAAGGATACCTATCATGCAGTAAAAGGACATGACACACTTGAAAAGACTTAAGAACTTAGCTCCTAAACGGGTAAAAGAATATTTCGTAAAGTATGGCTTACAAAATTATTCTAAAGATGTGGCACTTAGGCACACTGAAAACTTAGTAGGGAGGTCTATTTGTACCACTAACGAGAAACGAAACAGTGTGACAACTTATAAAGATCGGACTGGAAGAAAGCTAAGCATGACTACATGAAAACTGAATGAAGTCGTTGGCCGTTAGCTTGAAGTATGTAGATTACCTAGATGTAGCTTACGAGGTGTTTGTAACCAACGATCCCCTCTGATGGGTCTAAATCACTGATTATTCCAGTCTTCAAGAAAGGCAAGAAGTCCTCTTGTGATAACCACAGAGGAATAAGTCTGACGAGCATAGTTTCTAAGATCCTAGGTTCTATAATTCTCCGAATCCTGGGTGGAGCTGGGAAATAGCAAGCCCGAGAAAACTAGGTAGGATGTAGACCCAGACGTGGGTGTATCGAAGAAATATTCACACTGCGCCAGGTCCTGGAACATAGACACGCTTACCGACGCCTGACAATAGCAGTATTTCTCGACCTGAAGGCGGCATTCGACTCCGTTGACCGAGATGTCTTATGGTAATGTCTCTCACTGAAATGCGTGCCGAGTAAGTACATCACCTTATTAAAGGCTCTCTACTCAAACACTGGTGGGTGTGTTAGAGCCTATGGTAAGATATCCAGGGAGCTATGCTCATCGAGTGGTGTCCATCAAGGGTGCCCACTGTCTCCATTCTTATCCAATTTTATCACAGATATTCTCATGGACATCTCCCTCTCGTCACCTGATTACACAGACGTTGACCCAATCACAGGAGAATTTTCGTTAGACCTGGAATATGCAGATGACATTGTCCTGTTAGGGAAGACGCCAACAAGATACAGTGTTCCGAACACTTTGAGGGGGAGTCTGAGAATGTTTGGGATGCGTTTCTCACCACCCAAATGCAAATTGCTCCTCCAGGACTAGTCTTCAACGGTGCCCCACCACGGCTAACAACAGAGAATGTAGTGATTGAGTGTGTTGATCACTTCACTTACCTGGGAAGTGGGATCAGCCCTAGTGGATCAGTGTCCGATGAAATCTCTGCACGGATACTAAAGGCTCAATTGGCTTTCGCCAAATTACGTCACCTGCGGCGCCACCGTGATATCCGTTTGTCTATTAAGGGTCGTGTATACTGCACAACAGTCCGGTGTGTTCTACTAATATGTGGCTGTGAAATATGGCCATTGAAGGTGGAAGACATGAGAAGGCTTCAGGTGTTTGATCACTGTTGCCTTCGTAGTATAGGCCGTATTCCATGGTGTCACCATGTGAGTAACACAGAAGTCAGGTGTAGAGTTTTAGGGAGAAGAGGTAAGTCAGTTGACACGGTTGTGAACCTTGATCGACTGAGATGGTTGAGACATGTGTTACTTATACCTAGTCACCGATTGCCTCTTCACACAGTGTTGGCTGAAGTAGGTTAAGGCTGGAGAAAGGTCCGAGGTGGCCAGACTAAAACATGGCACCTAATGTATGAAGTCTCTGACTGTTGGTTTGAGCCATGTGGGGCGATGCAGACTATGTGGTTGGGGTCGGCGGGACAAGAGGAACCAATAGTTGGAGACTGGCTGTGGGTGATATAGCTCAGAACTGATGTCAGTTGTGCAGATGTATACACACATTATCGTCATCTTAACGATGCTATACCGAATCTCACCATTTTGTCATTCCTATTTCCTTTCTTCTCGTACTTTACATTTCTTTCGACTGCATTCTCTTATCTTCATCTTTCACCTCACTACCTTCCTACTTGATGTAGTGATATGAGGTGTGGCAACTCGGACCGTTACGCAGTAATGCCTGGTCCTATGTTGATATTGATGATGATGATGACGTTTAGGTTCAAAATCTGAGGGCATATAGCTTAAAATAGACCATAATGTTGCAGATGTGTTTGCTTCTGTTTCTCTACGAATTCTAAATTGTTTAGTAATTAATAATTCACCCTCTTCATTTCAGCATTTTTTTGTCTTTTCTAACATCTGCATTCCTGTGAATTTTTTTTTCTGTTGTTGCGAAGTGTAGTAAATGGAACTGGTTAAGCTTTTTGCCAGATGTCGCACCCTTTCGTTTGGTTTTAGTATTACCGATTATAACGAGGAAAGCAATCGGTATGTTTTTTTTCAAATCAAATTACCGATTAAGCAACTCATTACGTAAGTTATGATAACATTACACAAACATTAATCATCACGAGGAATGTCAATGTAAACAATGTTGTAAACTATTCAAGTCATAAAGAGATGTTTAATTTGATTCGATTTTGAAAAAAAATAAATGAATTGAAAAAAACCTTATATGTGAACAAAACACTTAAAGCAACTCGTTTATTAATACTGGTTAATTACTTGGAATGATCGATCACTGTCTGATTACTTGTTTCAGAGATACCCGTTGAAACCTTTGGACTCGGAGGCTGCAATTGTAGACAGGTTTGTTGCTGCGTTTTATTCTTTTTTATTCCATTTAACTTTTTAAACGGTTGGGATGATGAAGTTACTGATCGATGATCAGCAACTGAAGTAGCATCGGTAATTTGCTTTCCAACATCTGTACTTATCTTAGTCAGAGATTTACGAGCCTCGATGAGATTGCATTCACTTATAGCAGTCTGTATTATCTATCATAATTAGAGTGAAATAGAGCTTACCGTATAGCCTGGGTTGACAGCTGATCCAAGATCAGTTACTGAGATAGGGGACACTCCTTGTTCATGACTACTTCCAAAACAATGTGATTCATCTATAAAAACAAATAAGAAGTACCGACATCAATGGTAAACACTTACAACATTTGGATCTTAATAATTTGAGTACCGACTAACAACAAATAAGTGAAGTTAAGCATATCAATATTTCAATATGCTAACAGCAATTAAGTAGGGAAGTAACAGTTTAAATGGAAACCAGTAACTGTTTCTCGATTCTGGATTATAACAGATTAGTAAATTGCTACTTACCATAGTTAGGGGCATTGTAACTATCAGTTATCGTTAGTACACTTTAAAGATTAAACACGCCCGTATTTTAACAAAACAATACCAGAATAAACACCCAACCAACAGTAAAGCATCAAAGTGCCAGCTTCACACCACTAAAAGATAACACAAAGTCAACTACACAAGTCTCATCCTAACACTACAATATTTGAATTCTACACATATACAATTTAACTACCTTCATAAACATAAGTTACCTGCTACTAAAATCTTCACTGCTACCAAACGTGGGTCAGGTAGCTGACATTCATTTGGTATGTCATGGGGTCTGGACCCCACTCCACCTACCAAGGTTTGAGTAGCTAGTTAGTATTACTGGCCTGTAGACAATAGGCATGGCTTATTGCCTATAGCAGAACTTGCATATGGTTTCTGAGGGAGTCACGGCATAAAATAAGCTGTTAGAGTGTGCCATTTTCGAATGGTAAGACTAGTAACGGCCCAAATTTCTTGAATGAATCCGTTGATGTAGATGCTGATTACCTGATTAATTGAAAACGCGAAAGCCAGAACACTTAAAACATGATGGAGTTATTTTTTTCATACATTTTCCGCATAAAAATAGTTTGAGACGTAGGATAATACATGTAAATATTGTGGCTAATCAATTCAACCTTCAAGCAAGCTTAAAATAGTAGTAAGTCCCTCCCAATCATTTCACGTAAATAACATAAAAATTAGTACAGGATAATAATTTTTTACCGTGGACGTTTAGTTTGTGAATACACATAGTTTGAACTTACCGGGTTGATTTCTCAATACTTTAAAAGCCAGAAACTAAATAATGAGCCTGCTTTATTGGGTAGTGATGCTTAGATCTATGCTGATGTATTAACAAGTTAGAGAATGAAGAAAAGTGGTCAAATGTGAAGCCTATGAACAAAACCAAGATATGACTGGTGACCTTAGTACTGGAAATTAGATTTGCTATTTTGTCCTAGACGCTTGAACCTTTATTGTTGTGTTTAGATCCTTGAACAGTAACGTTTTGCAGTTCGGGAACAAAATAGCGTGGAGATGCTTGCATACTACTATAGTTTGCGGCAATAATGCAACGCATTGAGTTTTTAATAGGTTCATGTATCTAGTAAGGGATAATAATGCTATTCAGTCGTTTAAATCAACAATGGAATGAAGTGGAAGTCGTGAAAGCTTATTGAAGTTATTTCTTTGAAAAAGATCAGATTGTTGCTGCAGGGAGCACAAGTCAAGTAATACACTACGCTATTACTCTCACAACTCATGACTCAACTAAAGGTGCTTAGATTAAATAAGTTCATTTACATATTGTGACTGCTGAACAAGGTGTTCAAAACAGTTTAGTTATCACTTACTACTACAGCTGCAGAGGTATTTTCTAACCACAATGATCTTATTCATACATTCACAGCATCTATATGAAGATCATACGAATAACCTAAACTTATTTATAGAAAAGGCTTGACTGTTACCTTGTGAGCATTAGTAATAAAGAAACTACTAAATGAATGCCAGTAACTCAATAGAAGGTAATCGAGTGCTCATTTCATAAAATAAATTAGTAGAAATAGGTTATCGTTAAAACAGCCCACTTCACCAAATTCTATAAAATGAAAACCACGCACGCCACAAACGCACGTAGAGGGTAAAATACTTTCCAACATAGAGTTCTCCTAAACAACAGAGTCTGTATAAGCACTGCATCATATCAATCCCGTTCTTCACATAAACAAAGAACGAATAGCCATAAGGATTTCTTTTTGCTGCCAACTTGAAATGGCCTTGAATTATTATCCTATGTAAACCCGTTCTGCCATAGCCTAGGTTCGGCTCCTATCACGCCGATTAAAACCAAACCTTAGAGAAGTAGATACAACTTACATACTACTTCAATAAAACAGGTGGTTGCTAATTTCGTCTAAGCAGTTTAACATAATCGACACTTCGTTCAATCTTTTGCAAGATTCTCAACTCCAACATCTTAATTTTTGGGACGGTGATTTCCCAGAATGATGTTAAGTGAACATATTAAGTCAACAAGATGATAGGAAAACAAGTTCAGCCCAGATACAATGAAGACTGGTCAGTATGTACTTAGAATGAGAACTCAGTTTATATGAAATCCCTTCTATTAACCAGGTCTAAAGTTTTGAAGAAGGCTAAAATGGTATCTGGAAAGTAGTTCCAGATGGGAATACAAATATGACTACCTGAAATGTACGTTCTGTTGCGTTATAGGCAAAGGGCTAAGATTTCGATACGCGAAAGCATTAAGTTACTATGTCTCATTCAAAAAACTTAATTAGTTTTCAGACATATAGTAAGGATACATATCGGCAGTGAGAACGAAATCTCATGATGTAACTAGAGTTAATGATATGCTATCGACATATCAAATCAACAACAGGGAATTCACAACACGAAAACAACAAAATGATCGAGAAACTTTATGTGCTAACCGGTATCTTCACAGGCTGAAACAGGAAGGGTCTCATCACAATTGTTTGAATTTAAATCCCCACTTTTGTCAACAAGACCAGGAGTTGGCAGCTGCTTGCTTGGTCTCTTCTTGCAGTTATGGTTGAAGCGCCTGAATGTACTGAGAAATATATGTGCAAAACGCTTCTGCTTTGAAGAAATACCATTAGAACTATTATTATCAGAATGGAAGACTGCGCGAGTTGCCATAACTCATTTAGAGTATACAGTAGCGAACATTTTAAAAATGAAACCAAGGACATTTCATATTCCAATTTTGTCTCACTTTGCATGTCATAACAATCTGGGACACTGATGTGAGAATCGATCTTGGAAGGATTGAGTTAGGTTATGTCTACTTTTGACAGAAAGCCTAATGTGAACACATTGGTCAAGATAAAAAATATTCCTATACTTTTGTTTTGCTTCCTCTCCTTGTCCATTCGCACTCATGATGGATGACTCGTAATGGTGGAAGACTGTGTTTGACAATTGGGGAGGCATTTCTTGCACTGAAGTGACGGTTGTTTATACCCCTTAGTCCTATAGTCCTGTAAACAGATGAAAAGCCACTACAAAAGAAGTAAATGAGCTCTAGAACAAACCATTTTAGTGATGATCTCCCCATCTAGGCTTTGATGTACTACAGCCTCCTGTGACAGGCAACCCTCCTCACACCGAAATGCACGTTCCTTGAAAGCCACTTTCTCATTGAACTACTCCTGCAGTACAAGCCTTGAAGTTTAGTTTGAAGCATCTAGCCATCAGAAGAGTAATCTTTACTTTCATCATGAATGAACTGACATCGTGGTAGAAGTTACATGTCCTTAGGCTACTTAACGCATGTTGAGCTTGAACTCTTCTTACTGCAAACGTCCAAACCCGTAGTAGTCTTTGGAGAATCATGGATGCATTTAAATTCATCATTTAGTACACCCATACTGATGAATTTGTGTGTCGCCACCAACCGAAGCTAAAGGGTGGCGACTGACGTCATTTTATATTTGAGGGAACCTGAAGATAATGAAGAAAATGTGTTCTTTACCTTCACCTTGCTAAGTCCTTATCTCCTCACTCTATTTGATGCACTTCATTGAAACTGCTTTTTATTGTCTTCATTTATTGAGATTAGGAATATGTGGGGGGCCTAGTCACCATGCCATTTCGTCTATATCTGGGAGTCCCTAAGTTTCTTGGGTTCTAGTCGCTTTGCATACAAGTGACGAATATATGTCAGCCGTTGAAGTATTTTCCAGTCGACACTAACAAATTTGCCGGTCACTGAGCCATCTACAGCGTATGAAAATGATTCCTGGAAAGTTCATCATTTATAGGCTCCAGCCCACTGGGGTGCTTCAGAAGTTACATTGTCAGTTGATTGTCACCAGGTTTCGTTTGGTCTCTTTCTATGAATATGAAAGGCAATACAAGATGCTGAAGACTTCGTCGAATATAAAATCAACGACAGTTATTTTACTCTGAACGGTATTTTTGTAACTGCACGAAATTCTCAGCGCGTAAACTGCCAAGAATATACTCCATATGCGCCATTTTCGTTAGAAATAAATGCGGTAGTTAAGTAATGCTGGCAGCAGCAGCTACAGAGACATAATTTATGCTCGAGAGCTCTGAAAGTATAGAGGTCTTGTATTACTGTCGATGAACATGCTTTCTTCAGACACTTCTTTTTCCCCATAAGATGCGCACCTAACAACATGCAGTTGAGGTTTTTATTTATCTGTACACGCATCAAGTCCCACAAATTACGTGACCTTTCTGGGAGTAGTTAGAGGAAGGGCGAAGGATACAGATGTTGACCAATATTTAGTAGACCGAATCCAGTCAATGGCTCATGTGAATCCAAGTGTGTCAAAAATATAACCAGCCAGTCGGATCAGAAGTACACCACATGCAACGCTGGTAGCCTTCGTAGTCCCATCCAATATGAAATACTCTTCAGCCGTTCAAGAAAGAATAGAACTAGGTGACGTGGATGACTGGGTATAACACAGCAGCCAAAGTGGTGGAGGAAAAGGCTGTCATGCCGAATTCTTAGCTTACCTATGCAATATGTCTAAAAAGGCAAATGTTTTCAGATCAAAAGCGGACATTTGCATCATAAAAATATTTCGAAGGCTTGCTATTTTGTTCTATGGGCAGCAAGTGAAGTAAATCTTCCTGGAAGTGTACGCGGAAGTCCACTTTTTAGATGTGCATATGCTTAAAAGCGTTGAAGTGGAACATGGTCGACATTATCTAGTGATGAATCTCTCGTACAGTCTTCGTTTGTTCCTAAGTCATTTGTGAATATTTAATTCCGTGTCCCTACCTAAAGTGTAGCAGAACTGACAAGACCGTTGTGGAGGTGTTACGAAGAGAATCTTCATACACAAAAATTAAAATCCTCAGACAATGCTTACAAAGAAGTGCTCAGAACAAAAGGGACAAAGTAACTTAGTAGAAAACTAGACGTCAGGAAATTTGCGGTGGCTTTTAATTTATACATGGCTGTGCCCACTCAGGTGCGCAGGACAATATCCAAGAATTCCGCAAATGACTTAGCCACTGGAGACACTGCAGTACACTCCCTCATAAGCTGTTCAATGGGTAGCGTTGAGGATGGTCACAGCTCTGCGCTTGTTTCTGGGGCTGTCAATCTTTTCGAATCAGTATGTAATCATGTAAAGAAATCGGATTTTGTTCACTTAAATGCAGCTTAAATCAACAGCTTGTTCACGCCCAAGTTGTGATGATTATCAATAAAAGCGACCAAATGGAGACTCGCTTTTTCGATAGCATCTGAAGTTCTTGCTGAGTCCTTGAGAAGCAGCCATTAAACTACGAGGAGACGTTTTAGCGTACCAATCAGGCTTTGTTCAGTCCAAATACAACTCACTTGGACCCTTCACGAACATGATCTTTTTATCAGCATTCTTATACTAACTGAACTATCATGGGTTCCTAACATTACCACCCAACTTTCTAAATGTTTTAGTCCGAAAGGCTTACGGAACAAAAGCCAAAATCATGATCAGAGAATAAGATGTCTATTTATTTATTTATTTGCAACTTGATACTGCAGCTCCTCACACTCCTCACACAGTAGGTAATTCTTAGGATCCACTACTCTGCCGCGGTGAAGCAGAGGTAAGGATTAGGACCACTTGTTTGGTTCAGCAGAAAGTTGTTTGAGCCGGTGCATTCGGATAGTGAAGACCGTATTCTGGTGCCTGATATTACTAGGGCATCGCCTGTATGATAAATTATTTTCACTATGCGCAGAAGGCCCCTGTGCAGGTATATCGGCCCTCTTTTCTGGCCTTCGGGGTCCTTGTTATCATTTCTGTGGCCTTAGGATCAATAAAAGTTGTGCAATATCATGTTGTGAAGAAGAACACTATAAATAACCAGGGTGAGGTTAAGATGCTGTGTTTGCCTTTTCTCAGGGTTTGGAAGTGATACTGGAAGACTCGCATTTTGTGTTCACCGCGTGTTCATGGGAATACTTAGTAAGTAGTGCTACAGAAAGTCTGGGTATAACTAACACCTGATATTTCCTTGACCTCCAGCCATGTGACTGCTTAATTGTTTACCTTTTTCCTTGTTTAAACATCTTACACCTACTGAATCTGGCTCTGCCTCCAATAGATCGTTGTGACCAGTTTCCAGTGGGGGTAAGTTACTGTTATATGAAATATTTCAGTCGTAGGTGGGTTCAGGTTGCTAGAACAGGAAAGATGTAGAGAATAGAATCCGGACTGGTCAGCCAAATACGTACAAAAATACTTAGACTTCCAAATCCACTGATTATGCTTTCATCGATGCAAGTTCCCCTGGACCGCAAAAATTAGAACAAGGCTCTTGCCTTCTCTTTATTCTGTTTATTTCCCAGTCAATTCCTAGGTATAAATAAACATGCCTCTAGTTTTATCCTGAGTCATGAACAAGTTATTTCATGCTTTATAGTCCTAGCACTGCGTAAGGTTCACCGAATTTTAATAGTCACCAGGCCCATAAATCATGTTGAGTGACCCTCAACCGTCATTGGACTTCTCGCTGGTATATGACGGGTGAACTTTGTGCTGATGTTTTTTCAACTTTCTCAAATGCGGAAAATACTCTCTCTGGGGAAGTCCAGTATGCAATCACTTGAGCTCGTCTTCTGACTATAACCACATGGTGGCAAGAAATTGTCACACGTATTTACATGGGGGTGACATAATAAGTGATATTAAAAAATATTGTATTTTGTTTTCTTATATTTCGATCAGCCATCTCATGGTGTGATGTACACGACATCAAGGTTGAGGCTGCCACCATGCCTTGGAAGACTGAAGATATCCAACTGGCTCGAGACAAACAGACAGCAGTTGAGCGCCTCGTGCATTTTAAGAGAAAGTTTGCGCAGCAACGTGATGCCTGACGGAAATACAGAGAAGTAACCAGGCATATTGAAGAACGTTATGTCGAAATAGTGGTTGGCCAGGAAAAAACTGCTGAAGCCGTGTCTGCAGCATCATGCCGTCTTTACTCAAGAAAAACCTGGAAAGATGTGCATAGTAGTCCGCTGTACTGCTAAGTGTGTGGACAGGGCACTGAATGACATGCTGCCAGGCCCCCCAGTTTCTTTGTCCTTGCCAGTCGGAGTGCCGTTAAGATTTCAAAATGCTCAGATGGCCGTCGCTAATGACACACAGGAGACATTCTCACAAGTATGGATACACATTATTGACTGAAATTGTTTAAGCGTTTTTGGCCCAAGAATGGCTCTGAGCAAGCGCACCTGTGAGTGTAGAATGATACTTCGCCTCTTTAGTGCCATGTCATCACCTCGCTGCGCAGACTTTGCAATGCTTTAGGACATAACTTGCTTTAATTCACTAGTCTCGAGAATGAGAAACATGGTTGATGAGTGTTTCTTGGTGGATGACTATTTGGTTTCACAAGACGAAGCAGACACCACCGAATGCCTCGTTTCTGATGTGCGTGGTACATTTTTGCCCTGTGGGTCTAGACAGGTTAAGTGGATATTTAGCACAAAAGAGGCAGAGGAGAAGACAGATTTTGAAGATTACGCGCCAGCCCTGCATTACTTGTCTATTGATACACAGTTCGCTTGGCCTAGTTTGGAATGCAATGGGACGTTGAAGCGATACCCCTGGGTTTAATGTTGGAGAATGAGATGGATCGGTCACTCGACGTAGTGTGCT